GGATCGAGCTGCTGGCATGAGTCACTGGGAGAGGACAAGGCAGTCTGATCACCGCTGTTCAAACTGGTGTAGCAGCACCCCGCGGAAGGCCGTCACGGCATCATGCTGGTATGCCGCCGGCCACCGTCGTGCCGCTGCCGCCGCCCCGTCAGAGGCTCGGGCCGAATGGCATCATCAGTCAGTTTACTCAAAGTGCATCTTCAGGCAGTCCGAGCCACGGTATCAGCGGACTCTGATGGTGAGACAGTCATCCACGAACCCCAGCAGCCCGGGAGGAGAGGGATGAGGCGAGAGCCAACTGAACCTGCTGTGACTCATGACGTCTGTCTGCTCTCGATCAGGTGGTGGAGGAGGAGGAGGAGGATGGGGGTTGGGGGGTGGGACCGAAGTGATGCTGTTGTTGTGCAGTCTTGGGGTGGTCCTTTTATGGAGGAAGGTGGAGCCATACCTGTATTGACGGGTCGAGTTGTACTTGCTGTCCATCTCGGAGGAAAGGATGTGTAAACAATGTAAACAATCAGAAAGCATGCTCGGCATGCATTCGACCGTACAAACAGTAGCAGGCGCACAAGTACCAAACAACAATACACTGAAACATAATGTCTTTATTGAAATGGAAATAATCTCACAAGCTGGTAAGGTTGTACACGTTGTAGTCAGATAACTCTCTCATGTCAGTCAAGAGAAACAAGACAGGGCTCGCTGTTTGATCTCCTCAGGTCTAGCAGCATCATCCTAGCAGGCAACTTTGCCTCGTCCGACTGCGATAGCTCCATCCCTACCGACATGTTGTGCTTCTTCCTTATCTCCGCCTCCTGCCATGAAGGAAGCTGGAAGCACTTGTTGCGTGATCGCACGAAGGAGCCGGAGGAAGAGAGGCATCTCTCCGATGAGGACCGCATCATCCCCTTTCTCCACTCCCTGCTCGTAAAGTCCCTCTCCTTGGACAGCAGGCACTTCAAGCTTGAGCTGCTTTCAGACCGCATGTACCTTCTGGGCGGAGGCATGGCGAACTCTAGGTTGCAGTTTTCAAAAGGAACGCTGTGCCTCGGATAATCCACGTCCACTTCCTCCTCCTCCATCCTTGGGGTGTCTTTCAGGTAACAATCATGCTGCTGTGTCTCGACGACGATGTCGTTGGCGAACTTGTTCAGGGATGCCTGTTGCTCCATAGTAGCAGTGATTGATGACATCTAGAGATGTCGAATGGACACGACTGTGTTGAGGAAGGTTTTGTATTGAAGATCTTTCAGCTGAGGGCAAAGGAGAATCAAAGATAGGAGCGAAGGGAAGGGCGAGGATGGAAGGTCGTGGCTGGAAGAGAAGAAGGCGGAGACAGAGCAAGTTGGAGGAAACAAGGGTCAGGGAGCGTGAGATATGAAAGGAAGGGAGGAGGGGAGGAGGGGAGGGGAAGGGGAGAAGGAGGGAGGGAGGGAGGGGGAGGGAGGGAGGGAGGGGGAGGGAGGGGGAGCAGAGGGGAGGGAGGGAGGATGAGCGGAGAACGGATACGGGATGGTATGACGAAAGATCAAGTACCCACCCTATCTTGTAGGAGGAATGGGAAAAGAAAAGTACGGGTACCTCGCTGCATCGAATCATCCTGAATCTACTGGGGGTCATGTGGACTTCTGGGTACTATTACAACAGGGTGGGTACTTTAAAATAGTAGGTAGGGGTAGTTAATGTTTCGAATATCCGTATCAGATCATATTGGATGAAATATAAGTTCGTTGATGTATGTGTGCAAATATTGAAGTCGGGGTATTTAATATGGGTGGGTGATTACAATAAGAGGGTAGTGTTGTATTTGTGGGGTACTGGTAAACAGGCATCATTGCTCGGATGCAGGGTTACTGTCAGCAATTTTGGATCATAAGTGTTCTGAAGTTGAAAGTGAGTCTTTTCGAACTATATCTATCACAACAACGGATCGCTTCGGGGCAGGGCCGCTATTAAAAACACCTCATTTTAAAATGAGATCCTTGAGAGCCGCAACGTTGTGAAAACGCATCGTTCTGTATTTTTATTACACATCTTATCCGGGAGAAAATGGGGGCTGAAGTTTTTTACCTATCAGAAACTAGCTCGCAGGCAAGGAGCTACACCAACCTCGAAAGTCCTCCGAAAACCCAATCAAATAACCCCACCCCCTCAATATCCCCATTTTGGGCTATATATCACCCCTGCTTTCAAATAAGATCAACTTTTTTCCCACTTCCGAGACTCTATATCCTTTTTGGAACAGAAAACATGCAAACACACATACCACGGGACTCAAAAATGCGCACGTGGCTCTGCCCCGACGTCATGTGATGGTGTCCGTGATCGGTCGCATTTCGTTGAGATTTGATATTTCGGAAAAGGATTTGAAATCGTTGTTGATAAATTGGAAATCTTGGCCGAAATGTCTCCGATCGGTCCCAACCAGGAGCACCGAGCATGGCAGCTTGAGGGCGATCAGAGGAGTCGAACCGGGCATGATCTTCCCGATGCAGTGCTGCTGTCCTCTCGTGACAGCTCGCGTGCGGCCTTCGGGCTGTATCTGACTGGGGAAGGAGCATGAGGAGGAGGTGGGGTAAGTCTTGTACTATCAAGTCATAATGTGCGATCAAGAGCTTTCGGGCCGTGGGCCCAGTCCACGCGAATCTTTCTCCCCATGAGTTCAGTTCCTGCAAGTCATGCGAGTGAAACAGGGTGGAGGAGGGAATGTTTCAGCTGATGGAACTGAGAGGAGAAGCAACGAGTTGTGGGTTGGAGCAAACCTTGAAGGAGAAGGGGAGGGTACAGTAGAGTGGTAGGACAGAGGACAGGAGCAGAATGTAGGATGCAGGAGTGGAGAAGAAAGAGCACGAGGGTTGTGTACCTTCCAACTGCAGAGCCGCCTGCACTGAATTTCGCATCGCAAGATTTCTGTCGAGCTTCAGCTTGTTTGAACGTCCTAGATCAAACTGCAGAACATGAGGAGGGATTTTCTGTTATGCAAGATCTCATTCACCTCGACGTACGCCATGCCCTTGAAAGCCTCTCGGCCTGACGTTGGGGTCCGAGTGTTGTTTCCTGTTGTTCTGTATGAGCAACGCTCCGATCGGGCGTTTGATGCACCTGCTGCGAGCTTGCCGATGAGCCGAATCGCCTTCACGTGCCCGCATGGGGTGAACAATGCCCTGTTGAGTCAGGGTCAGGCATGTTGTGAATGTGTGTGTGTGTGTGTGTGTGTGTGTGTGTGTGTGTGTGTGTGTGTGTGTGTGTGTGTGTGTGTGTGTGTGTGTGTGTGTGTTACAGTACCTGATCTTGTCTCTTGTGATGGTATATGGAAGATTCTTTACGATCACTGTGTTGCAACCTGTTGATTTCAGAGGGAGGAGGTTGTTTGTGCGAGTAGCAACAGACCCATCGGGATCGGTTTTCCCTCATTCTTCTTTCGATTTCCTTTGGCGTCTGATAAGATGGACTTCCTTGCGATAGAGACTGGACATGTTGCGTCATTCAAGAGTTTTCCTCTTCTCCTCTCACCTCCAATCTTTGATCCGTGTAATGATAGCGATGCCTTGATTGCAAGTGAAGAGATAATACACATGTCAAAAACTCTTCGAAATGGCAATTGTGGAAAGCAAACCTTCCTTGCTTTCTTCAGTGCAGTCTTGGTAGCAAACGATATGAACGCTCTGTATCGATCTATCAGTATCCCGAAAGGTTGAGGGGAGATTGGATAGGAAACAACATTTCTTACCTTCTCAAGTTTGTGTCGGGATCAGGCGTTGTGATGAATCTCAAGGTTTCGATCTTGCCGAAATCTTTAAACAACGCCATGATCTCTTCGTTCTTAGCTAACATTGGGATCCCCTTTATCTTCAAGAACGTCAAACACAAAAATCAAACACGAACGTCAAACACAAAAATCAAACACAAAAATCAAACGAACGAACGCAAGAGAACAGACCAGCGCAGTCTTCTTGTCTTTCTTTTCCTTCGCCTGCACATTCTTGTTGCCTGCCTCCGGTCGAACTCTCACAACCTTGCAATGAGTAGGGCTGAACATCGTGTCAGCCTCCTCCTCCTCCTCCTCCTCCTCTTCCTCCTTCTCTTCCTCCTCCTCCTCCTCCCTCTTCCTTTCCTTCTCTGCATCCTCCCCCCTTTTCCAACTCTCCTATATGGCCTCACCCAAACCCCATCCCGTGCTTGGAGGCTGTTCGCGCTGCTTTCTTCTCTTTGAAAGTCACCCACCACTGCAGGAACTCTCAGGCAACAGGCGGGACGGTCGACTGATTACCGAAGACATCTGCTTCTTGTCCTGCTTGACCTTGATAATCTCTCCGATCTTGTTCGCGCATGCCATGATCTCACTCTCCTGCACCGACAAGGGAACTTCGTTCACGACGACCGGGTATCCCCTCTCCTCCGGTCCCCGATGATCGCTCAACGCCTGCGGCAGGGAGCTGCGTTCCACAGGGGGCAGCGAGAAGCTCCTCAACTTCACTCCTTGAAGCTCCGTCCCGTTGACGTTGTTGGCGAGCGACAATGCGGCTCGAGACTCGAAGTAGACGATCACCCGCTCCTTGCTCGCTCCTGCTCTCTTGACCAGCGCTACCCTCCCACAGTCCGCAAAGAGCTCCTGGATGTCCTCAGAAGAAGTCTCCCCCAGCCCCGTGATGAGAAGAGGGAACAGCTTGCTTGACGTGCCGGAGCCCTTGTGACTGAACTCCTCCCTCTTCCAGCCATCCTTGCCGTTGCTCCTCCTCGCACCATACTGTCCCATGACCACTCCCCCCCTGAGCCGCACAGAAGGACGCTGAGCAGGAGTGATATTGGACGACACGGTGTTGTGAGACGGAAACGCTTGCACCAAGAAGATTGCGAGAAGCAGCAACCAAGAGCTGCAGGTCCTTTTGCGGCCCATGGGAGGGAAAGGGAAACAGGAGGATTGGGAATGAGAAAGAAGAGGAAGGGGAAATGAACGAGGGGAAAGGAAGAAAAGGAGAAGGAAGAGGGAAGGAGGAGCGGAAAAGGAGCCTCTACCCCGGCCTTACTGCTGCTATAGAATAATCCTGCATCCACAGTCCTCACGCGTTCTCACACAAGGAATAATCTCCATCACTTGCATATTTCACCGAGGATGTACATCCCGCCTGAAGCACTCACCCCCCTGTTCGGTCAATTCAGCCCTCTAACAGACAAGATGAGCAGCTGCAAGCAAACAGACTATGTTTTAGACCCAACGAACCAACTTGCTTGTTGACTACAAGAAGTTTGACACATAGCCATGGTCTCTTCTTGCTTCATACATTCATATGCGTCTTTCTCGTTTTGATCTGCTCTCGTAAGGAGCAATCATGATAATAAATGCTACATGGTGCCATTGACGTCATAATTCTGCGTCTACACATGCCCCTGAAGCGATCTCAACATATCTGTCTCTTTGGTTGTCAAGGCTGAATGCCGGCCAGAATGGTACAGGAGCGAGGGCCTCCCCTCTGTTCACACTGCCTTGACTCGCATTCGCTTCCTGATCCACTCTGCTTCTGACCCTCGTTCTCCCCATTGAATCATATCCTCCCTCGCTCCCTCGCTCCCTCCTCTCCCTCCCTCTATCCCTCCATCTCACTTACCAACATTGCGTCCTCCCATACCTCGATCTGAGGCGGACTTGTTGAAACCGTATTGCCCTCATCCCCCTCGTACCCGTCCTTCAAGCTGGAGTCACTAGTACTGCAGGCAGGACATTCCGTGCCAGACTACCCACCCCCGCTAGAAAAAATTCCATTACACCCACCCCCACTTCATTAATCCCACCCCACCTATCTGTAAGCTACATTCGGCACCTACCCTTTGATACAATTCTTCGCTGATCATGATGAACCCTACCTACTACATCGTATTCATTCAACGACGGTTACACGGGGTGGTAGAGCTACTAAATCAGAAAGTACCCCTTCCTACAAAATTCTCAAAATGACCCACCCCCTTTGTACAGAATGAACTTTCAGGACTACCCCCTTGACCTCTTGACCTTACAGTACAGCATGTGTCATTGTCCATATCAGGGGTACTACTCAGCCGAAGCTGGAATAGTACCCCCAATTTTGTAGTATAAAGTACCCCTAATTAATGTCTAGGGGGTACCCTTCCCCCTGGACTGATTTGACCCGCCGGGTTACGACCACCCGCCTAAATCACACAAGTACCCCTGCATTCATGGTACCCCTACCCCCTAGCAACAATTTCACTCGGACCCGCCGAGTGCTGATACTACTCAGTCGAGAGGACCACCCCCAGTATGCCCTGTATAACCACCACCCACCTAAATCCTACATTTTCCTTTAGATGAAGGGGTGTTTTGCGTCGAGCAATACAACCCTACCCCCTTCGATACGCAACCCACCCACAACGACATTGTTTCCTTCCAAGTGCAGTCCGTGAAGGACCCCCTCTTTGTGACACTGGATACCCCCCACCCCCCTCATTTTCACCCTACCCTACCTATCCCCTGCTGTACGATTTCCTCTACTCCGGGATGGCAGGAAGGTCGAGAACCGTTCCCCTCCTCCTCCTCCTCCTCCTCCTCGCCTCCTCCCCACTACATGCCGCAGCTCAGCTCTGCCATGCTCCTAACGCCACCCTGTACTGCGGAGAGGCTTCTTCCTTCGTCGAGGCTGACGGAACCGACCTTGGTTTCAACAGCTGCTCCATGAAAGCCTGCCGGGAGTTCCCGGCGGTTCAGAATGGGATGGCAGTCTTGCCGAGGAGCGACTATGTGCTGGTAGGAGAGACGATCACGATCAAGTGCAACCAGGGATACAAGCTGAGTGCCACTGGGAGCGAGACGCCAAGATGCCTTGACAGCTGCGGGTTCGAGGCACACAAAACTTGCGTTCCTATCACTTGTACTATCCCGAACATGGCGAATGCGGAGATAACAAGCGTTCATCAGAGGACGTCGAATGGCGTCAAGTTTGTGGAGTATCAAGAATACATCCGAGTTTCCTGCAATCAGTTCTACATGCGGAGTGATTCCGCACACCAATTCAACGAGAAATGTCAGGTATGACAGCAAACAGAATGTTGCTTTCATGTTCTCTTCTTAGTTCATCTATTCTGTGATGGTCTCTGTGGTCTTTTCATATCTTTTTTGCACCATTCACAACATTTCTCTCATCACTGTCTTCATCGCCATCGCCATCGCCATCGCCATCGCCATCGCGATCACTCCTCTGTCTTCTCGCCCATTCCCTGTACCCTCTTCGCACGCTCCTCCGGCCCCTCTTCCCTCTTCCCCTCACCTCTTTCTTCCTCCCTCCTCTCCCCTCCCTCCCTCACCCCTCTCCCCTTCTCTCTCTCTCTCTCTCTCTCTCTCTCTCTCTCTCTCTCTCTCTCTCTGACACACATTCACTCGTTCGCTCACATGCTTCCTTCATCATCCTCAGCATCTGAATGCATTGCAGGTATCCTTCTTCCGGGAGTGCTTGGCAGACGGCTCCTTCTCCAACTCACAGATTTCGTGCATCCCTATCAAGTGCAAAGGGTATCCTCCCACCGACTCTTCCCTCGCATGCGACAACTCCAAGTCCACATGCGTTCCCGTCTCCCCTCCTGCCATCGCTGGAGTCGTCGACCTGACAAGGGATCTGTCGTACGAGGAGCAGGTGAAGATCAGCTGCAAGGACGGTTACCACTGGAACGTTACCCACAACTCTTCCTTCCTCCCGTCCATCGCCAGCCCTTACAACTCCCGCATGTGCTCCTGGACTTGCGAGCTCACGCCCATGTACGGGGGATGCTTCCCCAACGAGTGCAGGTTGCCGGCTGTGACCAACAGCGTGCTGAACAAGTCGGTGGTGTACTACCTCGACTCAACGATCATGACATGTAACAATGGACTGATTCTTGACAATCAGTGTCACTACACCAAAGAGCTCTTCTGCAATGTTGCCGGGAACCCTGCCAGCTTCAGCGTCGAGTCGAACCTTCCCGTTTGCTATAACGCCACTTGCTCCGTCAACACGTTGAGGTCTTTGGATCAGAATACAGCAACTGTCTCCCCTTCAACTCCTCCGATATTTGCGCAGGACGTGAACGTTACCTGCAATATTGGCTTCAGAGCTGGCTTGCTGGCGGATCAGACGTCAACCTGCTCCAACGCTTCCTCCTATATCGCAACGTGCGGCAAAGGAACCGTCCAGACTCCTTCCTCCTACTCGCCTTGCGAATGGAGCCGAATCCTGAAATGTCTTCCTGTTCAGTGTGTCGTGCCGGAGGTCGCAAACGGCGTTTCCTCCAAGAGTCTCTTGAGCTACGACCAAGTATCTACCATCACTTGCAACACTGGCTACGGCATTACAACCAACGGCTCTGCTCTGTACTCTGCACACGATGCAGTGATCACCAGGGTAGTGAGATGTCAGGCAGATTGCAATGCTGAAGAAGTCTACTGCAAGGAGCGGAGCTGTGTTGACAGAGCTCCGGGTGTGGTAGAGACTGTTCCTTGCGCCGATGGCAAGGTGGTTGAAGGAACAACAACATGTCAGACTGTCTATTACAAGCGCTGTCGTCTTGGCAACATTGAGTATAGCAAGGCTGCTGATGGTAACTACACATCCTTTCCTCCTTCCTGCATCGCCAAGGTCTGCAACAACGGCTGTCCCATCGCATGCACAGATTTTTCGCAGCTCACGAACATCGTCGCTCCCTCCTCTATCGCCGACGGACAGACTTTGTCTGTCAACTGCTCCGCTGGCTACGCTGACCGGCAGGCGAGCTGCAGTACCTCGATCTCTGTCACTTGCAGCAAGGGCTGCGCTACCTCGTTGTCACAGTGCCAGGCGTCAAGTTGTTCAGTGCAGCTCCCGGCTAACAACATGATTGTCAACACTCAGCAGACTTTCACCATGGGCCAATCCTCGTCAGTCACGTTGAATTGTTCCAACAACTACATCTATCAGAACTCAAACTGCGTATCCTCCCGCACCATATCTTGTACCTGCGGTGTTCTTACCATGCCCGCTGATATGCGATGTGTCATCAAGGGCTGTCAAGGCAGCTGCCAGCGCGATTGCTCTGCAAAGGTCGATCAAAATGCTCTTTCCATCGTTCCCTCCACGAGTTTGTCATACTTGCAGACAGTACAAGTGACATGTAAGTCTGGATTTGCCGCTGTCCCAATCTCCTCTACGCGCCCTTACGCTGTCTGCAACTTGTCGTCGTCTTCGTACACAGACACTTGTACCGACTGCACTTTCCAGACTACGTGCAAGTTGACGGGCTGTCCTGGTTTTGACAAGTACAACACAACAGACTCTCTTGCGGAGATACACGGAAATGCCATCACCTTCAATCCAGACCCGCAACAAGTATCAGATTCTAACTCCACGAGCTTCTCTGCCGTTTCTCCAATCACCGTGACGTGCCCCACTGGTAACTTGACTCCTTTGTGATCTTGATGATCTGTTGTTCTGTTGGAAAGATTGTGATCTCGTCATATTGCTGCTGCTGCTGCTGCTGCTGCTGCTGCTGCTGCTGCTGTTGATGGTGATGATGAGGAAGAGGACGAGGAAGAGTACTTGATGATGTCTTGAACTATCTTTGTTTTCGCACGACATTCCTGATTCTTCACCCCTAGTAGATTTACATATTTCTGTCACAATCAAACTCTTTTTCCCATGTCTCAATATCTCCTTTCACGACATCTCCTTCTCAAGCTTGTACTTCTCCCCCCCATCTCTTGTTCAGTGTCTCTTTCTTTCTGCTGAAGAACTTTCCTCCAGGTTATCGCATCTCAACAACAGACGCTCCTTCTGCTTCCATAGCTCGATCCTCCAACGCCATTTGCAACCCGACCACTTGCACGCCTACGAAGCCTCAATGCAGAAGAATCACGTGCGGAAACTTTCAGGTGAAGAAAGCTGATGTTGTTTCAGTGTGAGGAGTAGAGAGGAAGGAAGAAGGGGCAGAGGAGAAAGGTTGCGAGCGAGCTAGCGAGCGAGGGTGAAAAGGGGAGGGAAGGAAGGAGGGAGGGAGGAAACAAAGATGATAGTCATGAAAATGAAGGAGAGGAGTTGGTTGAACGAGGAGGAGGAGGAGGAGGAGGAGGAGGAGAACAATGATAGCGATGGCGTCATGGTTGACTTCATCAACATCCATCACATGTCTTGTCTCATCATCATCACTCTGATCATCACTTCCACCTCAACATCAGCCGATGTCTTCACCGAACTCACCTTTACCTCCTCAGATCAAGTCAACGTTCTCAGGTCTTCTCGAGTCCTACAACGGATCTTCCTTCTCCCTCAGCAACGGCTCCACCACCACTCTCCTCTTCGGAGACACGTTGACGTTGACTTGTCAAGACTTCTACCGTCTCGACAACAGCAACGTGCAAGCATGCCAGTACATGTTTCAGGTGCGCTGCCAGGACGACGGCACCATAGTCTCTCTCTCCCCGCATGTTCAGACGGCAGACGTCAGGACGCGCACGTGCGTGAGGCAGGCTTGCCTTGTGCAGTGTAGTCAGTGTATGAGGTACTCAGGAGATAACTCTACCATCTACACCAGGTGCGACGACGAGCAAGGTCTGTGCCCTCCTACAGCCCCGCAGTCGTACGAGGAAGCTTGCTCCTCTGTGACTGAGTTCCGCACGGACAGAGGAGGAGGAGATACAAATCAGGCTCGCTGCAACATCCGGATCCTCTCCTCCTCCCCTTGTCTTCCAGTCCAGTGCCGCCCGCTTGCTCTTCCAGCCAACAGCCTTTCGTCCTCTCCTCCTCTCAACTCCTCCATCTTCTCCTGCGGACAGGTCGCAACCATCACTTGCAAGGATGGCTACATGCCTGAGAGCTTGTTGGACGGCCCCGGCGCCTGCGCCAGCTCCTTCAACGTCACCTGCGGGTCCTCAGGGCTATGGCAGAACGTCCAACGTTGTGTTCCCAAGCTCTGCCACGTCACTGATTACCAGCTTGTCGAGCACAGGTTGGCTGTGGGGAACAACTTCGTCCTCCCTTGCCCTACCGGGCAGGAGGCTGGCAAGGCTGTTTGCGGCAACGACTGCCTCCTTTCCCCTCCTCCCTCCTGCTCCCCAGTCTCCTGCTCCTTCAACCTCACCCGTGCCACCAACGTACTGCAAGCCTCGCCATCCTCTGCAGTCTTCGCAAGCAGCGTGCAGGTCACCTGCGCAGCAGGGTACATCGCTTCCTTCACCTACCGGCAAACATGCGACAAGAGCTTTTCGACCATCTGCCAGGCTGACAAGACGTTTGACAGACAGGACGGGGCCCAGTGCCGCCTTGCTCAATGCCCGAGGTACCTGGAGGTTGACCCCAATGTGGTGGAGGACTCCTCCTCTTCCCGCCTTGCCGCCTACGGGGAGACGTGCTTCGATCTCAAGTGCAAGAGAGGATACGGACTCGACGGCAGCCCCAGCAACGTCTCCTTCACAAGGAGGTGCGGGCGAGCTGACGTCAGCAAGCTGGCATGCCAGTGGGAGGACGGACCCCTCTGCAAGCCCATCATGTGCGGCTCTTACCCCGCCGATGCGAGGACGGTGGCCGTCGGCAGCAGCAACGCGAGCATGCAGCACCGGTACGGCGACACCTTCACCGGGAGGTGCATGGACGGGTACCAGGTCCAGGGCAGCAACTGCGCGCAAACTTTCACCTCCACCTGCCAGCTGGACGGGACGTTCAGCCAGATCGCCACCTGTGTCCCCGTCCGCTGCCCCAAGTTTTGCGACACAGTAAACCAGCTGGAGTCGAACTGGCAGAGGATGCCGTACGCAGAGGACGACCGGGTAGGAGACTACAAGACCCAGCTCTCCCTCAAGTGCCTGGAGGGGTACGCATGGGACCCCAGCTCGACGGGCTCTAGAGCTGTCACCTGCCAGCAGGACTGCAGGTGGAGTCCAGCTCAGACCTGCCTGCCTGTCACCTGCAGCGCTCCCACAACGATCGACCTGACCACCATCGACGTCGCTGCCGACGCTTACTGGAGCTCCTTGCCAGTGGCCCCGTACGGCAAGTCAGTCAACCTGCAATGTCGAGCTGGGTACGAGCTGGTCAATTCGAACCTGAGCCTCCTCGAGCTGCCTGTCTTTGGGCAAGTGACTGTCCTCGCTTACAAGAAGTTCTCTGTTCCCAGGTGACACTCCTTGCTCCCTCCCTCCCTCCCTCCCTCCCTCCCTCCCTCCCTCCCTCCCCCTCTTCGTGCTCCGTTTTCTTCTCCCTCCTTTCCTCTCCTCCTCTCCTCCTCCCCTTCCCCGTTCTCCTTTCTCCTGCTTTCTCTCCTTTCTCCCCCCTCCTCGCTTCTGCTTACTCTCCTCCTCTCCTCCTCTCCTCCTCTCCTCCTCTCCTCCTCCGCTTGCTAACTCAACTTCATTAGCGCGACAGCAGACACGACTTTCACTCTCCCCGGCGCCTTCAGCTATCTCTCCCTCACCATCCCTGCCGGCGCCTGGCCAGCAGACCTCAAGGAGGGTCCTTCCATGCAGATCTTCCAGCTGCCGTCCAGCTACAAGCAGCAGGACTCCCTCTCCATCCTCGGCCCAGCTGTCAACTTTGGGCCGGAGGGCGTCAAGTTTTCGAAGCCAGTCAGCATCTCCCTCCCCGTTGACCCCAGCACGGACATGGGAAATCGCAAGTTTGCGGCCCTCCGCTTCAACCCCACCAGCAAGTTGTGGGAAGAGATCGCTATCGACACCAGCAAGCCACCGGCAGCGCCAGGAGACAAGCTTGTGTTCGCCCTCACTTCCTCCTTCTCCGTCTATGCCTCTGCCGCCCAGACCGTCCAGGCTACGGTTGCCTCCTCCTCCACGACTCCAGAGGGGAACAAGCTTAACAGAGGAGCAATCATAGGAGGCGTCGTCGGAGGTTTCTGCGGTTTCGTGCTCCTCCTTTCGATCGCCTCCTACGTGCTGAAGGAGAAGAAGCAGGAGGAGCCGTTGGTCATCGAGCCCGTCAAAGGATCAGTCCAGCTGGCTTACTCTTCCGAGTCCACTCCAGCTCCACCTCCAGCTGAGCTGAGGAACGAGCACGGGGTGCCCCTCCTACAAGCTCCTATCATCCCCACGGGCCTTCCAGTTGTCCCAGGAGGGCCAGCAGCTGCTGCTACTGGTGCTACTGGTGCTGCTGGTCAGGACGCTGCCGCATCGGAGGCAGCCCGGTCGAGGCCTGTGCAGTACGCTGGGTTTGCTTGAGGATCGGAGAGAACTTCAGGTACAAGACTCCCAGTCAGTGATCGGAATCTCACTGACTGGGCCTGGCGGATGCTGCCCGGCGTCCGCAGCCTGAGGCCTGGGCCGGGGGGGGGCGCGGGGGGGCGGCCGGGGGGGGCGAGGGCCCACTCGGAGCCCGGGCGCCGGATTGGAAAGAGTAATGAGAGGGCCCGACTCTTGAACCGGCTGGCCTGGGCAGTGTGGGGCAAGACCGTGGCAGTGGGGCAGTGTGGGTGGCCGCCGTCTGACAGGCCCTGCGGCCGGGCGTGCGCAGCCACCGTGCCAGTGAGCCCCCCGCTGACCGTCCGGGCCCGGCGCGGCGCCCGGGCCGCCGCCCGGTGACTCTGCCAAGACGTGACGGACCGTACTCCGGCCGTCCTGAGGGGGTGACACTGACACGGCGCCGGACTTTGCCAGGTCGCGGCCCAACTGCCACGAATGTGGTTGGTGTCGAGTTGAGGGAACAGTTGCCACTGGCAGTGACTGAGCGGATGGTAGTACGGTAGGCGGCGGCGGCCCGCCGGCAGCCGCGGGCCCGACTCGGGATGATTCCGGGTACGGTCACCGGGTCCTTCCAACGGTTCGATGATGGTGTGGTGATCAGTCAACCAGCATCCGAACTTTGAGTCAGTGAATGGCAGGCTGAGTTGCCACGGTCTCGCTCGATCAAACTTGTTGAGTCAGTTCTGGTTGTTTGAATGAACTAAAGGAGTGACATCCGATCAAGTTCTACCATCACATGACAAACTCACTGGACCTCGGGGGCCGATGGGTCCCCGAGTGACTTCTCGAGCAGCTTCCTCTCACCCTCCAAGAGTCCGAGGCCCGGGCACGGCAGCAGCAACTTGATGCCGGTGTAGCCGAGCTCCCGGATGTCCTTCACTAATCTATCTCAAGGGATCATGGCTAAGATCAGAGTTAACAGGAGGATCCATCTCAGCTCAACCACGCGGCTGACAGGTTGCTACATATACAGTACAAGTAAGAGTCGAGAAGCTGCCATGGAAGTGGATGGAATGGTTCTTTCAAGGCCACATGAGGATTGACAGGCCCAATGGTCCAGCCAACATGTGGAGAAGGGAGAAGTTTGATCGGAAAGTTTCGCTGGGCTTTTAAAACAGAATAAACAATAAAACAAAAAGAAATTCAGGAAAACTGAGGAAAATCATTGATACAAGAGCTGGAAGCAACTTTCTTCAACCACCAGCATCTACTTGCTTGCTTCTTCCGCCAGCTTGGTCGTTCGAAACTCATTCTTGCCGCAGGTGAGTAACAGCATGTCGGGGAGTGGACGGCCCTCTCCGGATCGCGCAATGTCGATCCCGACTTGCTGATTATGAGACCGTCTAGCCTGCAGCATGGCCTCCCTGTCTACAGGTTCCTCATGCAAGTCCTCGGTTGCGAACCTTCGCATGCTGATAACCTTGCTGTCTGAGCTCCACTTCGCCATCCCCCTTCTCATCGCAAGCTTGCGGTCCGCGAACGAAGTAGGCTCGCTGTCTGCGAGATCGCTGGCCGCAGATAAGTCAAAACTTCCCAGCCTGTTGCGAGAAAAGCGCTTCGGCGGTTCCATGGGCGAGGGGCAGTCCTTGGAGCGCTCGTCCTCATGAATGGAAGGGAGCACCACTTGGGGGACCACTTCCTCCTCGTCGGAATCGCAAGCTGGTACGTTGAGAGAGCGCATGATGGGATAGGAAGGGGTTTGAGTGGAGAGCAAACAGCAGTTCGAGGAGGGTGCGAGAGAGTTGACTAAGCACTGGGCCCAAAAAGCTCAAACGTTGCAGGGAGATCAGAAGGAGGGAAGACACAGACGAGGAGCAAGTGAAGCTAGAACGGTGTTGTGGGAAAGACAACAATGAAGAACGAGATAGCAATGAAGAATGCAATGCTTGCTCGGAGGAGGGAAAAACAAATCTGCCTTGAAAGTACAACGAGCCGCCGTGTATCTCTTGTTTATATGTTCTTTTTACACTACCCCCACTTGACAGAGGTTCAAGAGCAGTGTGTTCTTTGTTGTAGGGTAGGGTGGGTTCAAAGGACAAATTGTGTCCATGATAGATAGAGTATCGCTACATTACATATGATCTTAATCGATAAATCACTGTGCTATAAGTGCTCTGATAACCTTGTACTATTCAAGAGATATTTTGAGGGTAGGGGTGGTAGGAACATGAAGCTGACCCCCCATATTCTAGGAACAGTGCAGAAACAGTACAATTCTGGCGTATGACCGGTACTGTCCCCTTCAAACATGGCTGATGGAGAAGGGTGGGTGTGAATGCAAGATACTCCTACATTATTCGAAGCGTTTTATTTCAGAAACGTTTCGACTGCCAGTCCGTACCGCTACGGTCAGCGCTTATTTTGCCTTCTTGGGACCCCGTCAGCGTGCGACTCCCTCAGTAGGAGCTCAGTGCCACTCAGGGGTACGACCTCTAGCATCTGGTACTATCAGATCAATTGAGAGATCGCCTTACCCTGGCCTACTGCCTAACACACCGATTGTTCCAGCGCCTTCTCGCGTGTTCCCTTTACTACAATCCTTTACAGCCTGCCACAGGGGCGCGTTTGTAATGCAGGCAACGGCCAATAACCGCCTTCTAACCGCTGATAACCGCCCAGGAAAACATATTTCAACGGCGCATGACCCGCACGGCTACTCCGAGGGACCCGGGGATGCGATCTCCGGATACCACTTGCAGATACGTTCCGTGACTGATGGCATGACCGTAACGTGACCGTACAGGTTGACATGTGACCAGAGTCTCCCGGACAGGCAGGGCCTTGGTTTCACTCAAAGAGTTGAGTTAAATCTCTGGTACTTAAACTGAGAGCCTCTGTGCCGCCGGGCTTGCCCGGGCCCGGGCCCAATGGCCGACTCAGGATCTGATTCGTTATAAAACGGTTACAATTAGGTCAAATTTTGTCAGGCGGCAAAATCATCAATCAGTTTTTGCAGGCTGCGAAGGAACTTGTAGTAGGAGGAGGAGGAAGAGGGAAGAGGAGAGGAGAGAGGAGAGAGGAGCTAGTAGATACGGAAGTCACTGAGAGACAAGGAGCAAGGAGTCTCGGAAGCCGCCGGGTGGGAGCAGCTCACGGTCGCCACCGCCTCCATCACTGGGCTCTAACCAGTGAGCGACGCTTCAATGTCAAGGGCGGCAGCAAGCGCCCTGGTGGTATTGATCGCAACTCTGTTGGTACAATATGCAGGATCGCAGGTAAGACACCCCGTTCATCAAAGTTGTCAGCAACTCGATGCTCTTCGAGTCGCTAGTAGCTGACAGGTCTGATGGATGCAGTCAGCGACGACGACAACAACTGCTTCTGAGTATGGAGGAGTTCCTTTCGTCTCTGCGACCTACGAGGTCCGCTGTTGCTGTTGATGTTGCTGTTGATGTTGTTCCCTCCCACCCCGCATCACCCCCTGCAATCCTGCTCCTGCTCCTGCTCCTTCGCTTCATGCGGCCTTGCTCTATCAGACGTTCTGACATGTGATGGTGCGGGCAGCTTGTAGTCAGTTACTCAGAGATGCGAGGGGACGTAGGGCGAGACAACGCTTGCCAGGGTCCCTTCCCCTTCCAATTCACATACCAGGTGTGGTGACCGGCATGCTAGCTGCTGGGAGATCGGGACGTGAAGGGAGGTCGGGAGGAAGGCGATGGGATAGTTCAAGTTAGTGGGTAGGAAAGAAAATGAACAAACAGCATGTGGTGGTAGAGGATGGGAGGGTCATCGAGATTTTGTGAGATGATGATCGAGATGAAGAAGTGGAGATAAGGTTGAGGCCGACGATGTTTTCTACAGGTTGATATAAGGCAAGCGAAAGGGTCTACTGCGATAGGGTTGTTGCTGTCAGAACTTTGAATTGCGCTCTCTGACTCTTGCCATCAGATGGTGTGCGAAGGGGCTGGACTGCAGCTTGCAGACAGTGGAGTCTGTTCTGAAACAATCAACAGCTGAAAACCTCGTGGTAGAAACTTGCTAACTTGTTACACGTCTCTGTTGCTAGCTTGCGTGAAGACACATCGGGTACTGACTGTGGTGTCTTGCTGTTTGCTGCTTTCAGAGCGACTGCACGTTCAAGCCCCGCACACCAGCCGATGCCGGCAACTCAGTGCCAGGATACGATCCCAAGGTTGGCATCCCTGATTACAACCTCAAGGTGGAGTGCGGAGCAGGACAACTCTGCGTGGAGAAGGGGCAACACGGTAAGCAGTCAGGGCGATGAAGAGGGAGGGAGATGTCGAAGTTGTGCAAGAGCAGACAATCTTGACATGATACGCTGTCTGCTCGCAGTCCGAGACATCAAGCCCAACTGCTCCCCTGATCGCCCCTGCGTCTCAACCTCCCGCAAGACTCCGGTCAACTCCAGGCTCTTCGACAACCTCCACGTGCCAACCAGCGAGCCCTACGTATGGGGATCTCTCTGCCGACAGTACGACTACGCGGTGAAGGAATTCATTTGATTCGCTCTCCTCCTCCTCCTCCTACATATCCTTCTTCCCACCCCCTCATTTCTCCCGCCTCCGATACGTCCTCCTATTCATATTCTGCTCATCCACAGCCTCCTTGATTCAAATCTTCCTGTCTCCCCTTATGTCTTCCATGCTCTGCGGAGCTTCTTACAACTGGTCCTGCTCGCGTACAATTCTTCGCTCTCATCTCCTGCGTCCTGCTAAGCATCGATTCTCCTCCTCTCACCTCCTGCTCAGGAGCCAGCTACGTCTGCAGGAGGGCTCGGCTGGCTGCAGGGCGCCTGGAGGAGCGTTAACGAGACTCTCCTTTTCTACCTCGACATCAACACCTGCACCTGCATGCCTCAGGTCACTTTCTTCTTGTCCTTCATGCCGCCCCTCTGTTTCTCCTCCTCCTCCTCCTCCACCACCACCACCACCACCACCTCCTCCTCCTCCTCCTCCTCCTCCTCCTCCCCTCCTCCCCCCTCTCCCTCCCCCCTCTCCCTCCCCTTTCCCTCCCCTCTCACTTCCCATCTCCCTCCCCCTCTCCCTTTCCCTCTTCCTGCTCCTCCTTTCCTCCTCACACCATCTTCATCATCATCTTATCGATCTTCATCCTCTCCCTCCTTCTCTCTCTTCCCTCTTCCTCTCCTCTTCCTCTTCCTCGTTTCAACCGCATACAGTGCTCAGCATGCGAGGTCATGAGGGAGGGAGTCAACACTGTCGACCCCACCTGTATTGCCACCTACCCCAAGGCCGTCTGCGGATACAAGATCGTCGGAACGACTGGAGGAAAACATTTCTCCCCTCCTCCTAGCAGTCTGACGTTGTTGCAGGTGCTGCCGTCTTTCCTCCCTCCTCCTCTGGTGTTTCTGCGCTGGTCAACGGGGAACCCAAGCTCTGCTTCATGTATGCCGCCATAGAGGGAACGCGCATGGCGACCTATGAGGAGGTAGGAAGTTGTGAGAGGAGAAGGAAGAAAAGGAGGAAAGAAGTTCTGATTGTTGTGCAGATGATAAGAAAGAGACCAGAGTTCAAGATCTGATCGAAACAGCACCAAACTGCAACGCGGTCGCCAGAGCATGATAAACTTCATGAGGACAATTAAATACAAGACAAGGAAACAAGATCTACTCTACAGTCTGCATTGGTTGCAAGTTGATAAAGTACTTCTGGAAGTCATTCCTCTCTGCTGTCACAGGCCCGAACTCGTCTATCTGTAAGTACCACTGTACCCACGCCATATCAAGAGGAGCCATGTTCTGCTCAGGCTCCACCGGCTCCATGTCCCAGCTCTTGGAGGCATTTCCATCTGCATCATGTAGTCTTCAGGCATCGCTTGAGGTATTGATGAGCTCGGCGAGCACAGGGCCTCCACAAACGTCGGGTGCGATCGCGTCTCCTGCTGCATGCCGGTATCCGCGTTCGAGGGCGCCTGCGCCTGCATAAAGTGCATGGCGGCCATGGAAGCTGAAGCATGCTGAGCCACCGGTGGAGCAGGAGCGGGAGCGGGAGCAGGAGCTGTAGAGGAAGCAGGTGGAGAATTCTTGGCACGCGAGGAGGGCCATCGGGCAATGCCAAGTTTCCGACAGACTGTCTTGAAGTTCGCTACCGAGAGTCCCTGGTAGTCAAAGAGTTACGACACTCCATGGCCATGTACATTCTAGTTACCAGCGAACGAGCCGCATCTTCTTGTCGGAGATGGTAGAGTCTCTCTATCGTTGACTTGTCGATGTTCAAGTGATCTGTGATGCTCTCGTTAGACCCACCCGCCACGCACTTGAAAATCCTTCATCGCACTCACCAGCCATTCCAGATGTCTTGGAAGTTTGTGTGAAGGGGAAGGGAAGCTCTGGTGTTTAGATCTCGAGTATCAAGTGTCCTGCACATTCACATGTCAAACCATGAAAGGAGAGTAGGAGAGGCATTCAAAGATAGCTTCGTATCTACGAAAGTACGAAAATTGTATCGAAACAAAACGGTACTCGTGGTCTGCTGGTCTACCTACTCCTGTGATGCATCAGATCGATCGATTTCATGGCTGTGGTTCTCCTATTGCATGAATTCACTAATCCCACCATCATCTTCTTACACATTGCGGCAGGATCTTCCAAGTCTTGTTTCATTGCGCCTCATCTACTCTGTGTCATACCCCTTCTCTCCACGAGCATCATGCACAATCTCTGTCGGTATCGTGGTCTCATATCCTCCTGCTCACCATATCCCTCCCCTTCCTCGACCTCTCCCATACTTCCTCCTCCTCCCCGCCCTTCGTTCCCCTCTCGTTTCTCCATTCTCCTCGCATCTGTGGTTTCCCCCGACTCTTCTCAACTGATATCCCCTCGTGGTCAATCCAAAGCTTGTGGGTAGGGTTCACTACCCCCATGAGGGGGTGGTAAATAAAAAGGTTCTACGGTGGGTGGGGTACCAATAGCAGGCACATGTAGGACGCCTGATTGATCCGCCTTGTGGTTAGAAAGCCTGGGAGCTTGAGGGTAAGAGGCAGCTGAAAATATATTCTACTGCATTTGGAAAATAATCGATCTACTGGCACAAAGAATCCCGAGACATCGGAGCCCTATAATGAATCAGGAATTGAGTTTTGTGGGAACAAAAGAGTACGATACTAGTGGGTAGGGGTACTTAAAGATGGTGGGGCGGAGGAGGAGGGGTGGGGTACGTACTGGTGGGGCCAGGTATAGCCGTCGGAAATGTTGAATGGCGAAAGGACTCAAGAAAAGTAATTGTATACCTAAATGTGTTTTTGAGGAATAAAAACAGTTGTTAAACATTAAAATGATTCTAGAAAGAACGTAAATGTAGTTGTTAAAAGTTTGCTTAGCGGTCACGAGGGTCACGGATATTAGGGGGACGGGGAGATAACATACCGTTTCGGATTGTTGCCCCACTGACAGTCTGAGCACTCTAAAAACGAGACTTTTCGGAAGGGGGATGTGATGTCAGAGATGCAATGGTTCATTCGTCAGTTGTCACAGCACAACGTATCACTTGGTACATTATAAACAATTCAGTCAAGTTTGTTCCTAGTACCTCGTGACCCTCCGATCTTCTTGTGTGAGTCATTCTCGAAATCCTATCTTTTCGCAGTTTCGAAGGAACTCTTGAAGACACGACAACCGCCGTGACTGGAGGCTGCTGACAACAAGTGGTTTTCTGTTCTCCGTAAAACAATTTACAATTGAGAGAAATTTGATCACGAGATAGACTTCTCCCGGGGCATGCTGCATGGTCAAATATTGAACCCCCGGTCAAACTGAGCTGACATGTCGAATCACGGGCCAAGCCACTTTGCACCCCCTGCACGACCTGTCTTGTGGAGGGTCCCTGGGGTTGTCCGAGTAAATGTTTTTTAAAAAAACGACCAGCCTGGTTCATTCTAAAGACGTGATCACGCGTTCCAAATCAAACCCATTGCAGGAGACTTCGGAGATCCGTGCAGTAAAATCCCTGCGCACCAACGCGGAGACGGCGAGTGGAAGGGGTGGTGATTAGGCGTTGAATTTGGGTGGTAGGGGGTAGTGCCGGTTGTGACTGGAGTCGGCTGCATCCGAAGGGGCTGGGCAGGAGGTATTTCATCGCAGCCATTTGTTTAACTTGTACTAGATGTAAATCACTGCCCCCATGAAACATCATGATTCACATTGAGGCGAGCTTGTATCTTCTAATCGGCAATGCGGATAGGACCGTAGTACGGTCCGACGGGGACTCGAAAGTCACACAGAGTCGGAGCCGTCAGTGAGTGCCGGAGGACCGCGATCGGAGGCTCCGCGACAGCCGGGCCGGGCTCGGACGCCGGGTGTTCTTTCAACCGAGAACTTGAAAGGCTTGAAACCCAGTTAACCGTTCTGTTCTTGCTTGTCGGAAGTCTTGGCGGCGCGCCGTCCAGTCCGTCCTTTTTGACTCAAAGTTAAGTTAAAAATCAGTTCTACGGTACGGTACGAGGACAATTAGGCCCTCGGAGAGTCGAACTTCGGAAGCCTGCCTCAGCAAGAGCGGCGGCTTGATGATTGTCCGATCGGATCGCAGATCGTCGGACTCAGTGGTGCCAGGGTCGACTCGAAGAGGCTTGACCCCTGCCCTCGCCGGCACTGCAAGTTGGCCCAGTGCGGCCGACCGTGCTTGAAACTCGTCACAGTGGCGACTGGCAAACTTAACCTCACGGTACGGTCTGATACCCGGCGGAGTCTGACGGCGAGCCGCCGCCGCGGCCCGGCAAGCCGCCGCTCGCGCGGCGGCCGCTACTGAGGTCACCGGGTTGATCCGTTCAAGTTTGAAGGCTCAACTTGGCAAAGCCTTGAAGTTAAGTTAGGCCGGGCTGGCCCTGGCGAGTCACTGCCGCTGGCAGCCGCACCGGGCCCCCGGCGCGGGGGCGGCGCGCGGCCGGTGAACGGTGATTGCCAACGGTTGCCCCCCGGCCGCCGCCTGACTCACGGCGCCCGGCCGCCGTCACCGTCGGGGACGGTCTACCGGGTGGAGGCTTCACAAAGTTTACTCAAAGTTAAAAAGCAGCTTCAATGATGACAGTGTGCCCTGGGGCAGGCTGCTTCACTGGTGACCGAGCCGCGACGGTATGATATCATTACAAGTGAAGAAAGAGACCCGGTGACCTGCGCGGCGCCTGCGCCTCGGACACTGAGACCTACAATGCCAAGAGAATTCGGAACTTCCGAAACTGTGACAGCATTCCGGCCCGGGAGCACTGAGACAGTGATCTGTACTTGATCTCAGGGTGACTCTCGCAAGTTTATTTACACAGATTCTGATTGAAAGTACCGAACTCAATTATCATTGGAGGGCCTCTGCATTCGCATGATTCCCTCGTATTCTCTTTTATCAACACCAACCCTGTCCTGCTTTCAGCCTGTCCTTCTCTTCAAGATCAGACAGTGTCTCCATCTTTCGCTCACCTAAAACCGGCCGCTCCGTCTGCACTGATCTCAACTTCGTCCCTCATTCCCTCCTCTGGTCTGTCGGTTGTTCGCTTCCTCCTACATGTTGCGCACATTCGAGGTTCAGCGTATCTGATAACACAGCCTGGTTTCTGCTCGTGTTTCAAAGAAACCATCTTGTTATAAAAATCTCCTCCCTTTCGACTGCCGTTTCATCTGTCCCAAGACCAGTCCTGTCCCTGTCTCTCTGCCTCTGTCTCTGTCTCTGCCTCTGCCTCTGCCTCTGCCTCTCTCTCTCTCTCTCTCTCTCTCTCTCTCTCTCTCTCTCTCTCTCTCTCTCTCTCTCTCTCTCTCTCTCTCTCTCTCTCTCTCTCTCTCTCTCTCTCTCTCTCTCTCTCTCTCTCTCTCTCTCTCTGTCCTTCACCCTGTTACTCTGTTT